TTTTTTTTCACTACGAAATGGAGAAATAACCAATTTTTATTTGCTAATTTATTTATAAAAAAAAAAACATTAAACTAGATATCAGATAACGATTATATGAATATTTTATACTTAATACAAATAAGGATTATTAAATGTATATTCATCACCATTATATTACATAGTTACTAGTAATAATACAAAATAATTTATGGATCATTAATTATAAATAATTATTTAAAAAATTTATAAAATTGTATATAAATATAATTATTTATTTATAAATTTGTTCTAGTTTTGTTAGCAAGATAAAAAGAAACACAAACTAATACTTTTTCAAATAAAGAATTTATTGAGTTTTTATATTATTTGTAGATACGTGTACAATTATCTTTGTAGAATGCAGAACGTAATCTCTTAGAACAGATTTTAATATTAAATAATAGTACTGCACTAGTTTATAATTTGTGACTATTTAAACATTTTTCTATTCAATTATTATTAACAAGATAGTATTAAATTTATTTTACAAATATAAATGATTTCTATTTATTATCAGCACCAAATATATTATACATATTTTAATATTAATTCTAATTTTCACAAGCGTTTCATATAAACTTTGAATATATAGCAAAGTTCTTTTAATAAAATAAATAATAATATTTAGTTTTTTTAAATGTAACATAAATTTATTTTTTACAAATTTTCTCAATAAATTATGTTATTTTTGCTTTCAGATCAAATATTAAATAAATACCTTTAATATTATGCCAAATATATTGAAGAACTATATATGTTTTTAAAAGAAAACTTGATCATTAAAGTTGATAAATTATTTTTTTAACATTAATTTTATATTAAAATTATGTTGATTTTTATTTAAAAAATAAATAAATATGGTGTTTGTAAGTTACAAGATTTTAATATTGATAAGTTAATTTTGTTTTCATTTTGTTATTTTTATTATAAAAATTATTAAATATATTCCATATTGTGTTATATGTGTTCAATGTATTCGTTGCATTATTCAATATTTTTATTAGTTTAGAAATCTATGAAATATTTTTTATTGAACTTACCATTTTTACACTGTTTACAATTACTGCAATCAGTGCCATTGCTAGCTCCGTTTAAGCCGTTTAAGCCGTTCATGCCATTATTTATTAAGCTCAGGTGAAGGCCATTTTTATTTGGCGAACCATTCAAAGGTAACAGCTGTTTTTGTGGTTGCTGTAATTGTTGGTTTTGTAGTTGTACTTGTTGTGGCAATTGCGATTGTTGTTGTTCTGTGGTGGCTGCCGCATGGCCGTTATTTGAAACATGACCATTTTGAACTTCACACAATTGTTTCATATTGAAAAATTTCTATTAACAACTTTATTTAATTAAATTACTTTTTAATGAAAGTTTTTTTTTTATGCAATATAGTATTCTCTTATAAACTCAATTTTATAAATATTAACACATATACTTATTTCAGTTTTAGTTAAATTTATTTTCAAATTTAACTACACACAAACTTTGAAGTTTTTTTTTAATATTTTTATTTTCACTTCCTTTTTTCAATCAAATATTTATTAAGAATACTTTTGTACTGTCTTCAACTTAACAATTTCCGGTATATTTTATATACTTGTATGTAATGAATACAAATGCTTTAAAATATTTGCACACGTTATAATTTAAAAAAAAATAAAAAACTACATTGAATTCGCTTGCTGCGGGCTTGTTTGTTTCACTTTCCTAAGCATCTACCGACTAAACAGTTTCATTTGGTAGAAACCTTTTTATTATGAAAAATCGAAAGTTCTTTTTTCGTGCTGAATTTTGGTGCGGTTAAAGCGTATAAAAATATTTTTCTTAGCTCAATTTCAGTTTCAATTTCGAGGACTACAGGAAATTGTACGCTCATTTTATTTGTGTTGCTGTTATTGTCGCCATTTTTGCAATATCTGCTTGAGTCAGAAGTAAATCGAACTATTGCTCTCACATTTACACACTACACAATACTCAATTGTAAACTTAATTAAAGAATGAAAGGCACAAAAAGCTTTGCTGTGCGTCAACAAAACAAGAGTAATAAAGCTCAAAAAAAACTACCAAACAAATTCTTAACTCTCTGCTCTTTACTATAAACTTTATACACTTCCTTTTGAATTTGTTATTGTTGTCTTTGTTAAAGCACGTACATATACATTTGTCGATACCTTTGTGTTATGTTTTTAATTTTCTTAATTTTCGCTAATTTAATATCATTTAATTTTTGTACTTAATGCAGCTATGACTAACTAAACCATATAAAAAATCTACCATTTAATATTCAAATTAATATTGCGTATAAGAGGTGCGTCATTTTTTTATAAAAATATCGTTATAAAATAACAATATTTGATGTATTCATTTGGGGATTTTATCAAACTTAGAGAATTTCAACTTATTGCTTATACATATTCGTATTTTCTTTTTATTTTTTTGAAATCTTAATTTCAAGATTTTCTTGACGCATCAATTCAGTCCAAGTAGTTAATGGTTCATGTTCTTCTTAAATTATTAGCACACTCAAATTGGGGAAATACAAATTTGTAAATGATTAGTTTGAACTCATAAATTAAATTTTATCAAACTTAAGAATATGAATATTTCAAATGCTTATATTAAAAAAAAGCGGAATTTTTTGCTTGATATAACCACAATTGTAATCCAAGATTCGATTTAATTAATTATTAGTATTTTTCAATGAATCTATTATATTTTTTAAATTGTACTATACAAAATATTGTTGCATATTTATAATTTCGAAATAAAATATTTCATCCAATTTTGAAGTTGATTTAGGTGGTCTTAACACCCGGGTAATCAGCCTGACTCCGGAAGAAGTAACTACCACCAGAAAACTAAAAATAACTTCTGTTTAGTAATACAAGGTAGAATTAATAACTGCTAAGTAAGCATTGGAGAAATAAAAATCTTTCTTTACAAACTTGCACCTTGCGGAAGTAGCAAGGGCCACTACCAATAAAATGGAATTAGACGCGTCCGAAAAGAACATTCCTCAAAAAATCTATGATAATAAAAGCGTAAACAACGAAAATCGAGTTTGATGAAATGAGCTATACCGTGTCATTGAAATATTAACTTATTAAAATTCTGCAAATGCTGTGACTTAATCTTAGCAACGCTGGAGAGAAAAGTTTCTTGTTCGGTACCTGTTGTTGGAAAGGCATTGTTTCAAAAATACATATTTGTTTAAAAACCAAGAAGATATTTCTGCAATAAAATTGAAAATTAAATTAAAAATAAATATAAATAAAGCAATATGCAAATAGTTCAATGCATCGGAACTACTCGTTATCGATGACTGAATTGTTTACAATTCCAGCGGAGTTTCATCATTCGTAAAATAGGCAAACCATGAAGCATTCCCCAGTAACGTAGAAACCAACCTAGCTAAAATAGTATAAATATATACAATTGAACAATGAAGTAATCGTAATTTATAAATTATAGAATGAAATAAAAATTTTCAAAAAAAAATAAATGAAGTTGAAAAAAATTGAATGAAATTTGTAAAAATTACTTATATGACCTTTCTCGTTGAGCTTCGAAGTCATATTAATTCTATATTAAAAAAAACTATTTTTATTGAAATATTTATTTCAATAGTAATAATTACTATAACCATCTCTTATACTAGAAATTATTTATAAGGCTTCCAACATCAGGGTCTTGAAAATCAAAACTAACATACGATATTATCGTCAATGAAACCATCTAACAATGTTATCATCACATATGTATGTACATTCTAAAATAAAATAACTGTAGTAAATATAGAGCCAATTTCACAATACACACTTAAGTGACGATTTGCATAAAAATTATATACATATGTTTGAATTTTAAGTATTACTTAGTGGCTTCACTTACACTTAAGGGTTACTTAACCTAAATGGGCATTCTAAAACTGGGCTATAATAAATAAATTAAAAAGCAATATTATAAAAAAATTAATCAAACTTAATTTCAGAATGAAGATATCAAATAATGAACATATATTGAAAACATGCATTGTGTGAAAGTATTAAATGAGGTTTAATCACCAAACTTCATTATATGGAGTTAGAGTGCTCGCGATACTGCCTGCAATATTAAAAAAAAACAACAGATAACAGAGCTAGAGCTAGAGCTAGAGAGGAAAAAATCATATTAATTAATTAAATGATAAAAAATAAATATAACAACTACGAGTTTGGTTGAAAAAATCGTGCACATGGTTCCGTCAAAGTACTTCTATTTCTTTGGATTCCTGTTATTTCGAAAATCAATAGACATTTTTAATGTGCACTTTAGTTTATAGTAAACTATTATAAATATCTACCAAATACAGCATAAATTTTTAACAACGCAAAAGTAGCAAAAGTACAAATCAACCATTCACTTTATTTTTTTGCAAATCAATTTAAACTTAATATAAATCAAAGCGGAGTAGTACTTTCAAAATAATATAAATTTCATAATAATTGCTATAATTAAATTGTTCTTATTTAATAACTAATGAATAATAATAATCATTAATTAATTACACATAAAAACGATTAAAGAAAAAGGGAATAAAACAGAGCGAAAAATACCCTAAAATGCGATTAATTACACTTGAAATTAGCCGTTAAAAGAGGAACATTTGCAACGTTCAATGTCATTTGAATTCGTTTTATTTTTTGTTAATTGAATTTTATTAAACATTTTATTAAATTACAAGGTTCAGGTTTTGTGGGCTGGCATAAGCTTGCTCTACCGGTCTGTTGTACTGCAATTTGATTGTGTGTAAACCGGAAGCCGCACACAAACGTCAGTTAGACAGTCAGTTGGTCAGGTGCAGTAATTCGCAAATGATTTGTGGTTAAACAAATGCAAATTTATTATTTAAACAATTAATTTTGCGAGCTACAAGTAAAAAGGAACACCAATAAAATTTTTCAAATTATTTATTCAAAATAATAAATTTTAACAATCATGGCAGTTTTTATATTTTATAGTTCCATAACTTCACCGCCTACACCTTCTTTTCCTTGAGCTTGAAGCTCTAGTTTTTCCTTTTCCATATTTTCCAACTGTTCCAAGGTCAAGAGTGAAATACCTAATTGATCTTCTCGAGTAAATGGTTGTGCCATGCGCCGTAACCAACGACGTGCTAATTGCATAGATTCTTCTGTACTTAATCCACAAAAATTATCAACAAGATGTTCTTGTATCCATTTGGGTAAACGATTACGTTTGTCCTGCCTTTGGAATCGTTTATCTGCAAATATCATAATACCATAGTCAGTTTTACCACGTAAAGCACGGCCCACACATTGTGCAGCATGACGCATAGCGTCAAATGTTAGAAAATCGTTTTCGCGTATTTGGAATTGGTCACGTAAATAATCAAGGCGTGCTCTTAAAATTCTTGACTGAGTGTATACATATGGAATTCCAAACATAAGTACAGCGCGCCCATAATGATGATCAAAATCAACACCTTCAGAGACTTTGCCTCGAGCCACAGCAAGCAGGACTGCACCACGACCACAATCACAAGCCTTTAATTATATTTTATAGAAAATTTAATATTTATTTTATATTAATATAATTATCATATTTACTTTCACATAGTTCATTAATGCATAACTAGTTTCAGCATTATCCTGAGTTTCAATGAATAGCAGTTTATAACGTAACAATGTATCGACAATGCCTTGATCATACCACGCAGCTACAACCGATTCTAAATACAAATATGAAGTGAAAAAACAAACTATGCCATCAGGAACAGTTTTTGCGGTCTCAACAAGTAACTGCCCGTAATTACGCACTACGGCAGAGTCTTCACGTGTTTCGAATCGCGAAGATATAGTCACTTGATCATTGCCTTTGGATACAATCTACAGAAAATAAAATTACAATCAATTTTAATGAAAAAAGTAAATAAAAATTAAATACAAACTTACCATTGGCAACAGACATGGCCTTGCCAATGTCATAGTAAAGGAACTCATAATTACAGGATCAAAATTTAATATTTTTGGATACATATCCATAGGTGATAGGGTACCAGATGTAATGACTACACTTTGAAATCGTTTAAATACTGGTTCCATAGCAATCGATGAATCTAAGCAACTAAAGTGCAATATCGGATTTGCAACGGTTGGTGTTTTATCATCGAATGGTTCAATAATTATCGTAAAACCCTTAGTGTAAGTAGAAACTAGTGTGGCGAAATGGGTAACCTTTGCAAAAAAAAAATTATAAAAATTTTAATAAAACTATTTTATTTCATAAAAGATGCATTCTTTACAACAGAAACATATTTTTACTTATAGTGAGACACTGAAATATTCAGCTCTTCTACTAGTTAAGGGTTAAAATACAGTAACAAGAAATCAAACAATAATTGTGCATTATAGCCTGGATAACGCTAATTTTTGACTAGAAGGATAAAAAATTCCTTCTGTTTTCTACGAACTAATGTTATATATCGTAAAGTTGTTCATGATAGAACATTAGACTAAACTATTAAAGAAGATTAGAACATTCTATTTAAATATACCGAAAGGTAAAGGTATGGATTTTTTTAAAAATCTCAGGCGCAGCTATAGTGCTGATTCCATAAGTTTGTGAATTTTGTTATCTTTACGAAAGCCTTCTTAATGGTAGAAAGTTGTAAGAAAGACTTATTTGTTGTAGTATTTGAATATATTCTCTCCCGAAATCAATATTCATAATGATTGAAAAAGCCAATGTTCCCAATTACATTTTTAAAATTGTCGTTGTCTTTTGTAATGTTTTATTAAAGGAATAAACAAGTTTTATAATGGTCAGTATTAATAATAACTTACCAATGTCAGACTGCCATATTCAGCTGGGTCTGTTATTTCAAGAGTGCGCATCATGCTTGATAAACGCTCAGCGCAAAATCGCAGTGGTTTGCGTTCAATGCAAATTTTGCTCTGAACATCTTTTAAAAAACCTGCGGGAGATTCCTGTACAACATGATGAACTCTCAACCGAGTTTTTAAATATTCTACAAATCTGCGTAAAAAGCTAAGAAAATGCTCAGCATTTCTTATGTTACCGGGAACAACCTCTGTGAATTAGTTTTATATGTTTTAATATACCACATTATTACAACATTTAATTTGTCGGATACCTTTCAAAACATCAGCTGGCAGAATGGGATTTGCTAGAACCATATCTGTTTCACGTTGTTCACTAACATCTTTCAAACCTTGCACCATTCGTTGATACTCTTCATTTAATCGATTTATATCATCATTGCGTATGCTGTAAAAAAACACATATATTAGTAAATTGTAAATGCTTAAAAATTAAACCATATTCATACTCTTCTACTAATTTCTGTAAATTATTTAATGCATTTGTGCTGCGGTCAACTATGCGTCTGTTGATTTTAACACTCATCGAATCAATGCAAACATTATCTATATTATGTGCTTCATCAAAAACTATACATGATTCTTTCGTTAATTCCTTAGATACCACTTCAGCAATTTTTGGATCCAAAAGATAATGATAACTGTAAACTACAATATTAGCTTGTAGTATCTGTAAGATATTAGTTTAATAAAATTAAGAGTAATTATTGTTATAAATTTTATTTACTGCATGTCGTGCTAAAAAGTAGGGACACCAATTTTTCATACGTCCAAATTCCTTTAGGTCATCTAAACTATAAACACCGCAGGGTAGTGTTGACTCCTTACCTTCACAACTGAAACCCTCGTAATACTGACCTTTTAACAATATATAATAGTATAATTAAAACTGTATTTAATGGATCCGAAAGTTAATTTCTAATTACATATAGGTGTGTCTGCATCTACTGAATGTCGATCTCGCACATAACTCGCAGTTAAACCAAAACATTTTGCATCAACACTTTTGCCGTCACGCTCTCCACTTACTTGTGGATGAATACACATATTCTTACGTGAACTCAATACTAATCCAGTTAGACCAGTAGGTTGTGCATGCCTTTCATAGTATTTCATAAGGCTCTGCAATTCAGCGATGACTTTTTCTATCTCTGGTACTGTACGAGAGCAATATATAAGTTTCCGCACAGTCTCTGGATATTCAAGCATATAAGCTACAATCAAAGACAATAATGTGGCTGTCTTTCCAGTCCCGGAAGGCATTTCCAACAAACAATGACCTTTTGCATCAAGTGTTCGTTTCAACTCGAGCATATAAGCATATTGCTCGGGATATATGTATTCATATGGGAAATAAACTAATAAACCATCCACACTAAGCCTACGAGATAATTACAATTAATAAAATTAATATCATTAAATGTTTATTTAAGATAATGTAAAGCAATATAAACGTACTTCATATTTGGGAAATGTTTATATTCTGCTGTTTAGTATTTTTATAAAACGTTAGACATCAAAATTTATAAAACTTTTAATTCATATATAAAGCTTTAACTTATAATTTATTTCCGTTTTTGTTTATAAAACGAAAACGTGAAACCGGTATGCAAAATATACAAAACATCAAAACAAAAGAGTTTCAGTGCTGCCATATGAAACAGGGTGAATTGTAAAACTGTGAAGTGATTTAAAATTTAAGTTCTTATACTGTTTGCATTTACAATTGTCAAACCTTATTAGCAAATTTTTGTGCGAATTCTGTAATAAATGAGTTTACTCATAGTCAGAAATTTCTGCCAAGAACATGATCGCTTCCTTCCCTCACACGTTACCAAGTTTGGCTTAGATATATTTGTTGTCGTAAAACCAAGCCTTCTGTATTCTATAGTCTGCCTTTTTCCTGATTACTGGAGAAGGGGTTCAGCTTTTGACTTTTATAGTTTAATGGCTGAAATTTGTCCATTTTGCATTCTTAAGAGATGATTTTAGTGGGTTCCAATTTCACACTACGGCTCTCGATGCTTTTTACCTACCGCAAAAAAAATATTTTTCTGCATTAAAATATTTGTTACACATTTGCTTAGTCAATTAGAATATGTAAATATTTTGATATACATCTCGAATATACACTTATTGGAATGTTACTTAATTTATGTAAGCTATTTAAATAGATCAACATATTTATGTCATAATGCCAATTGTGGGATATTTATAGTACAATGCCAATTTAAAGTACAAATGCAGTGATCCATCTAAAATTAAGATTTTTTTTAATTCGATATTAACTGTGAGATACTGCGCAAACTTCTGGGAGGTATGCAGATCTGTGGTCGATTATTTTAAAGTGAAAAACATTAATCCAGCGTAGAGAGGAGTTATGAAGAAGCCTCGCGGTTAATAGAGAATGCATTGACTCAACCTAATTAATCAATCTGAACAATAGTGCTCGACCAAAACCAATCGTATATATATGTTTTATGCATCCGTCTAAGTAACAATTTACACACTTTACTGTTGATGAATTTAAATGTTTGTAAGTCATCATTCATGTATGATAGCTAATATATGAAAGCCGCTGTACTTAAAAATTATGACACTGCCAACAAGCAAAATACACTTATATTAAATGACAGCAGTATTTTATTTTAGTTGAAGTGCTGTGTTGGAGGAAAGTTTTTCTGAGAAGTTGTGTGCGGTGAAGAAACACAAACAAAATTACAAAATGTAGTAAATTACTCCAATATATGCTTTGTTTAAAATAAATTATAAACTGTTTAATAAAGTTAAATTTATATATTTTATTAGTATTATAAAAACTTAAAAGAGAAAGAAATTTAGTAAAACACTTGGAAAGGAGAGAAGCAAAGAAAGTTCAAAACAAAAATTGAAAAGGAAATAACAAAATTCGGAATATGAAAACAAATAATTAAAATTTATTTTTTTTTGATATAAAATATCGTCAAGTGTGTAATAATTTTAGTCAGTGAAATAATAAAACGAATAAATTTTTAGTGATGTGATAAAGTGCGTTGGTGGGGGCGTCTTATTTTAATGAATGAATATTGCAAACGCGGACGGACAAAAATCACGTCATTGCGTGCTTGTGCTCTACTATCATTTAAGTAATAAAAATATATGCTATTTTCCCTGGAGCGATGGGTTTTTAATGTGCAAGTTATTCAAAATAAGTGAATAATTTACTTTGGAGTTTTAAGTATACAGAAATACATAAATGGCACATAATTCAGCAAGAAAATCAAATGAAATCTTTCTGAACATAAAGAAAATCCTGAAACGGAAAAAAAAGATTTTCTCTCCATTTAATGCAATTATTATGAAATCTCATTAATTTATTTTATAATTAACATATATTTTATATGCAACATTCTTGCCAATAAATAGCGGATACATTTTAATTATTTATTTGCACACATTAAGTAAAGGAAAGGAAAGTAGCAATAGATAATTCACATCCGCCCCTCTTATTTTTATTTTATTTAAACAATTGTGAAATAAAAACGATTGTAAATATGATGACCATGGATGATGAGCAAGAGGCGCTGCTTAAACGCGCCACGGAAGAACGTGAAATGATTTTCAATCGATACGCTTTAGGATTAGATCCAAAGAATGAGGTCGATCCATGGGAGAACCCAACGTTTGAACTTTACCATGTAACCGACAAGTAAGTTGAAAATTATATATTCATTTTTTTATCGAAACGTAAAATCTTCTTAAATCAATGTTCTTCTTATCAAATTATGTATAAAAATAATATATAGAAAAGTAGAATATTTTAATAAAGATTTAAAAATATGATATGAATTTCATTTCAAGAGTAAAATAATTATAAAAAATTAAAAAAAAAAAATATTTTTATATTCTTCAGATATTAGAAAACTGGGAATGTGCATAAAAAAATATTTATTTGCATTCTCTAATAAACATAACTGTTTGTTTACAACCTCGCTTTCTTATCGCGTCCGCTGCACTTCTTTTGTTTGTTTATTTATAGTACAAGCACGTTTATCAGATTTCTTTTCTGCGTACGCGCTTTCTTTAATTACAGAACGCTTCCCTGAAAATAATACAAGCAGTGCAGAGCAGTTTTTGCTTTGTGAAGGCACCAGCTTTTTATCGTTTTTGTACGAATCTACTATTTTTATTTAGTAAAAGTTTAAGGTTAAATATAATTGTATTTATTTCGGAGGAGCGCATTTTTTTCAATGTCTAATAAAATGCTAACACTGAATTTTGAAATGCTAATTTACATACATCTTTTAATATTAAATTAATTTAGATAAGATCTAATTCAGTTTAATTTTGATAAGGCTGTTATATTATAAGCATCAGATGGGAGCTACTTTCAGTGACTATTGTCAAAGTTGTGGATAATAGGCGAATTAAACACATTTTACGTGTTATATTTTGACGATACGCAGCAATATACTTCCTCAAACGCAGGTTTTTGCTTCCTTAAATGTCGTTCCTATATTCTTAATGTGTATATTGATTGTTTTATCTAAATGATAGTGATTTTTTAAACAAGCTATGGATTAGCCCATCAGAACGCGTATATCTACTATAGATTATTTCTGCTTTTAATTGTCTGCTATATGTTCTTCCATCCTTAAATGTCTGTGCATTAAAGACACTGTACGTTCTATTCTAATGGCACAGTGATTTCTCAACGCGTCTATCTACTATAGGTTATTACTTCCTTAAATATCTGTAAGAAATTCTTAATGTGTGCATTGAAGACATTGCATATGTTATTTAAACTACAAAGTAATTTCTCGAATAGAAGTGGTTTATCTAAAATTTAAATTTAAATTTTCATTTAATAATAGTTGATTGTTCAAAAACTCTATTTAGTTTTAACTATCTAACTATTTGTGTATTTTTACTTCTATCTTTTTAACTTTGAAACTGTATATATAAGTAGTGTTAAACATAAATGTTTTCTCAGTTTTATTCTATCTTTTTAGTGCAGTTAGCTAGCAATTTTCTGTTCTTGTTAATTATTTGCTTTATATTATTTGTTTTATATTTTATATTTGTTTCGGTATTATCTGATTCTTTGACCTTCGGTTATTTTAATAGATGCATTTCATTTAAACTGAACATTAACTACATGCATAAGCGAAAAGAAAATATTTCCTTCATAATTGTTTTAAATTCAATGTAATTATGTTATTTATATGCTGTTTTTAATGAATGATAGTAAGGATTTTTGTCTCTATATCCAATAGCAACTAATAAAATGTATTATTTCAATTAACACGTTGATACTGCTCTAATTGAAAGCGAGTAATAAAATCTATATTTTTTCGATTAGACTTACCATACGCTTAGACCCTTTAATTGATGACTAATTCATTGTTGAAGCCATTTGCATACACATTACTATATTTTGTAAAATACATCAGAATATAAAATTTCCAAATTTTTGTATTATACGAAATTTTTTAAATTAAATTAAATTTTTTGCAAAAAAAGGTCCAAACAATTGTTATGAATTTTTTTTTTTTGAATTTGTTTCAAATATTTTTAGTATAAAAAAAAATTATGACACACAGCTATGCTATGATTTATGTACATAATTTTTTATTTATAAAGATTTAATAAATTTGTTTTGATAATAAAAATTGTGAAATTTTTTGGGAATATATAGTATTCTTTCCTATGTGAACGGTAAGGCTGACCACCCAAGAATCAATCTTTGGAAATGAGGCTAACCTTGTCCTTTTATCTGACTATCTAAGTATATATTTAATTGTTTTCATCTTCCAATTATAAATAGTTTTTATTCCGATAAATGCATCAATCAATTCGTCATTTCTATCTTAAAAGTCACAATTTTTGTATGATATATTTTATTTAATAATTCAAAATAAATTAATTTTTCAATGATTTCCAATTTTTTAATAAAAATATATGAATTTTGATTACATTAAATCAGTGTATAAGTATTTTCATTTATAAAAAATTTATTTTTGTTGTACACATAGAAATCAGAATACAATGTAGCAAATATTGCTCACTCTATGCTTATCACATAATAATAAGACGAAAAAATTATGGCGACGATATATCACATACAATACATAAAATATAATATATATTTAATATATATATATTTTTTGTTTGTCTTGCTACCAACCATAATTTAATAAAAAAACTGTGCGGCTATTTCGACAATAAAGGCACACTAAAATGTATTTTCTCCCATATATGCATATGAAATTTTTACTTTCATTTCTACATTACCATTATTGGATGCAAGTATGTAACTTACGTAATTAAAAATATTTTCATAACCTTTTCGATATTGAGATATTTACATCGTGAAAACGTTTTAGGTTGAATATTTGAATTAATTCTATGATTGTAATTATTTTTTTGGATGTCACCAAATCAGAAAACCTGTAAAGCAAAAACAGAGTGGGAAAGGTAATGAGAGTTAGAACGAGAGAGAGAGTGTTGAACTATTCTAGGCCGAGATTTAGATTCCTTTAGTATTAATAATAAGGAATGAAAGGATCTACAATTTATGTTAGCATTGGAACAGGTGAGCAAATTAGTAATATTATGAGGAGTAAAACTATTTTTGAGACACACATTGGGAATAACAGACGTGTTAATTCTGGATTCATAACTAGTAAACAAGCAGTTTTATATTGAAATGAGTTCTTGTTGCACATAAAATCTTGTTTTTATTGCTAGATATATCTGACGTCGAGTTGTTGATAGAGTCTGCCTCCATTAAAAAGTTCCTCTCTGTTAAGTTCTACTTTAGTTTAATAACATTTTTTATATTTAAATGTATTGTAAATGTTATTTTAAACCCTTATTTTTCTAGTACCTTCAAAGAAATATCGTAAGCATCAAATCTCAATAATCAGTATTTAAAAAAGCGCCTGTTCTACGTTAGCTTTGGTACTCTATTATATTTGTAATTATCACAGCAGCAAAAGTATTACCTGAATGAGAAGTGATTTACTCCTTCTGTTCTATTAGGTTTTCAATGTTAAACCTGATTTGGATCATAAAGTAAAGGATAACTATTTGCTCAGCGTTCATCAATTAATCTATGTAGAACAAATAAATTGAATTGTATTTGAATTCAAGCTTGAATAGATATTTTTGAAAATAATTCTGGTCACAAACTAATTTCATTTCGTAATAATTTAATTCTCTATGCCAAAACTTTACATTAGATATCAGCTTATAAATCACTTGACTGCTCATATGATTTAATTTAGATTTCTTACATTCTCCTTGATTTATTAACTTACTATTTACAAGTTATAAATCATTTCTGTACATATAGCATTAGTACTTGTACTAGAATAGACTACTTCATTGTTCATTAACATTTTCGTGTTTATTTTACACGCCTCAACTTTATTACATACTTTTCAAGACTTGCTTTTGGATGGGAGTATTCATTGATTCGTAATTGAATCGTTTGCTTACTATTCACAATATTATGCATATACTATTTCTTAGAAGCGAAATACTTCCATCTCTCATTAAATATATTAGATTCGCTTTCAGATTTTATTATTCATTCACTCGAAATCAATTTGTCGCTTGCTATTTACATCTAATATGTTTGTACATACGATATAAATATCAACTGTTTGCTAGTATACTAGTATGTTAGGTTTGATTGGAATTAGATTGGAACTTAGTGGCCAAACACCACTTTAACTTATATAATGACCTGCTGTTATACCACGGCTTAAACTAGAATCACTTAAACAATTTTGATAATATTTTTTATATCATTCAGTATTATTATTGTACAGCACTTATTTTACTTGTAGTTTATTACTACTGAACTTTATTTTATTGAAGTTTTAGTTGTACTTGTATTAAATAATATTGCATGCAAGCAAACCTTTATATATAATATTATACAAGTATTTGTTATAAATATTTGAAATTTTTTATTTCTTCCTTTCTCTGCATAGATACGGCTTCATACATGATTCCCGCCTGCCCGATATACGCGATTCACAAGAAGTGCAACGCACCAAAATTGAATTGGAACGTGATAAGAAATGGATGAAAATGTTCACATCATGGAATATACATAACGAAAAGCTGCGCAAACGTGTATTTAAAGGTATACCCGATCGAATGCGGTGGCCAGCTTGGAAAAAATTTCTGAATGTCGATGAGTCAATAGCTGCCAATAAAGATACATACTCTCGCATGCTTAGTTTAGCGCGAAAATATTCAACAGAAGTGCGTCAAATTGACTCAGATGTGAATCGTCAATTTCGTGATAATCATGCCTATCGTCAACGCTACAGCGTTAAACAATGTTCACTGTTCAACGTACTCAATGCTTATAGTATATACAATCCCGAATTAGGTTATTGCCAAGGTATGGCATGTGTGGCCGGAGTGTTGCTACTTTATATGCAAGAGGAAGAAGCATTTTGGGCACTCAATACACTAATAGTTGATAAGAAGTTTGCCATGCATGGGCTGTTTATAGAGGGTTTTCCAAAATTACAAAGATTTCTAGAACATCATGATCGCATTATGTCGAAAATTATGCGCAAGCTACATCAGCATTTTGTCAAAAATAATGTCGACGCAATATTATATTCTATTAAATGGTTTTTTGTAGTTTTTGTAGAAAGAGTGAGTATCTAACAGAGAGAGACGATTCTTATACTTATACTTAGTAGTATTTTTATTTCTAAATTGTATTTGTTTTATAATTACAGATTCCGTTTAGTTTAAGTTTACGTGTCTGGGATATATTTTTGTTTGAGGGCGATCGTGTTATAACTGCTATGGCCATTACTATACTTTACCTACATAAACATGAACTGTTACGTCTTAAGGATATGGATTCGATAATTGAGTATTTGCAGGTTAAATTGCATAAAAATTTTGGTTACAACGATGATTATGTGGTTGAGGCATTAGAGAGAGTAATGAAAAAATTAAAAGATTTGAAATTAGATGTACCTCCGCCGCCAAAGACAAACGAATTTCCGACTAAACCATTGGGACAATTCATAGAGGCTGATATTGAGAAGAAAATTGGACGACGAAGATCCGAATATACAGATACCGAAAAACAAGTTATAAATGATGTGATATCTAGGTGCGTACTAAAATACAGTAGTTAAAATAAATTATGTAAAATTAAAATGTAAATTATATTGATATCTTTGTTATAATTTGCAGGCAAGAGCAAAACGCTATTGAAGTACAATCAACAGTTTCATATGAGACGTCAGAATGCGCAACCGGTAAGTTATGTTGTTTTTTAATGTATTATAATATTTATACATGTCGCTATTTACTATCTTATCTTTCTCTTTACCGCTATTTACTTTCTACTAAACTATCTATTTTTATTCATATACATTTCTCAAAGAAGTTGTACAATAAGCAAAAAAATATTTAAATTGAGATTTGAGAAAGATTTGGAGGTTAATTTAAATATAAATTATTTCTATCAGAACGCAAAACTATTTCAGTCGCTTTTTTATGTTAATTTTTAATTTTCAGAATTTTTTTTTTTTGTATTTTCTTATTGTACAACTTCTTATTTTTTATATTTACATATAAAAAAAAATTGTATAAAAAAAATCTTATAGTTTTAATTATATTTATTATAAATTATACTAAAGTCAAAAATAGTGTGTAAATATACAGATCAAAACGCATTTAATTTCAATTATTGTAAATAATTAGTGATTTAACGCTGTTATAAATTACCATAAGGTTGTGACGGGAGTGTATTTAAGCTTATCTAATTTAATCTTTCGTTTAATACCATATTTTATTTTCATGTATCTCACAGAGGGGATTCATTTTAACTGATAAGTTTACCTACTACCTACCAACTGTACATTATTTGTGAAAGCTTTTGTTTATATTTCGCCAGTAAAATAAACCATCTGATAGTGATATATTCTCAAATATAAGTTTATCATTTCGTTTGTACAATCAAATAATTTTGCAAACTTATCTCATCTGTACAAATAAATTTTCATAAGAAATTTATAGAAATAAAATTATAACGAATAACCATATAAAGGTTTAACATATATTTATCAGTTTAAATTATACACAAAATTTGTTTAAATTGCTTTGAGATAGATATTCTTATAATAATCTGAACATCAGAAGATGTGATAACACATAGTGTGTGGCAGTAGAAAGCCATTTAGAATTGCAAGCAATTGCAACCGTTCAACTATTCGTACAAACATCGTTCAATATAATGTTGATTATATTCGTTTGTATTAAATTATTTTTATTTATGTTTCTAGTTTATATTATTCTCACTTATTAATTATATAGAAACCTTTATTTTTTCTAACTGTGCGTACAAATTTGTATATATGTAGATATATATATTAGTATTTCCAAAGTAGTGAGGGAAATCAAACCACCGTCAGTTTTCGGTTCGTTCTACCTGATATATAATAAATTTTTTAATAATAAGTTTTCATAGAAATATTGAATTATTTATTTATAACATAAATATATAAAATTATAATTTTGGAAGAGAAAGTACTGGCAGAAGAGACCTTTCCCATCCATTCCTAAATTATTCTTACTCCTAAACGATCACCTCCCTTCTTACACTACTACCATTACCTATCCATATTTTATGTTATCAGCTTTATAGATTCCTGTGGGCTACAACAACAGCAGACATCTTCGACTTTTCCGTTTTGAGTAATATATCAGTGACTGCATTGTATACTACTGTAACTATACAGTCAGTTGTTTAATGTGTTTCAATTTTCTTGAGCTAACAGTATGTTATTGCCAATTTTTTGCATGTTTTAATTAAGGGTGGCTATTATGTGAAATAGTAACACCGATTATATAGTTATAGAGTTTATATGTCAACTTTCAGTAATACTACTTTTATTGTATGTTGTGTTGTCTTTCTTGAAGTAACTGAAGGATTTGTTTCACTTTAGATATATTCAGAGAAGTCTTTATCTTTTCTTCTTTGTGAAATTTCTCCTTCAGTATTGTATACGAACTGAGCTGAGGCTCTATCTTCCATACATAGTCTGTATTTATCAGTTTCTGACAATTTGAGCCACACTTTATGTTTGATCAAAAGACAATGAGCAGTTACCACTTCAATCACTTTTTATAAATCCAATCTGTTCAGATTTAATTGCTATTTATTTTTCTTCTCAGAGTAAGAGCTTGGTGCAGCATGATACTTCCCCAATAACTGCAGATATTTATGTCATAAATTACAGTATGAAATACTGAGGTCATTGTTCCTCGACTGACCCATTATCGATTCTCTAGTTTATAGATGCCTGAGGCCAAACGTTTCTCAGTTTTGGAGCCATCTATGTACGAGACAATATCATTCGCAATGGTATTATTTCTTCCAATGGTCTGGTGAAAGCGGCTCTATGCTCCTTCTAAGAGTTAAAGGATTCAATATATATATGTCTGGTAAAATAGTGATATCTTTCCTCTTGGTTATGTATTTTAGGATAAAGTGTTCTAGAAGGATTTCATAATCTTTAGATTACTGTAATTTTGCCAATAAGGACAGGTGTCCTTTACAAATCAACTATTATGTAGAAAATTAATCATGTAGTTTCAGTTAATCAGTTCTGGCAGGAATAATGTGAGGTACTCAATAACCCGTATGAGCTTGCTGATGGCAAGCTGATGGGAATTCAGATGACTTAAGTCTGCTAATTAAGACATTTTCCACATCGTCATTTCGTTCATTCGTTTTTTAAACATAAACTTACAATTAATGCATTTCTTACACAATGTATTGGGATCAATAATGCTTTTAATAGTTTTCTTATGATTACCGTACGGTATTCATATTCAGTGGACTGTAACCATTAATTACTAAACAGTAGATCACGACGATTGTCTTTGTTATGATTGCAAAATAAGTAAGAGAGATATAACCATAGCTCCAATATATGTGTTATATAGATAAATCCTAACCACAGTAATTATAAATGTTAACAATAATTTATGTTAATCATCTTACACCTAATTATTTTCAACTTTATATGAAGTGTGAAAATTGAAAACCTAAAAATGTAAAAAAAGTATTTCCTAGAAGACCTCAATACCTTAATATTTTTGTAAAAAAGTGAACATTATTCAATGCATCATTATTAGTTCGTTTACTTAACGTAATTATCAGTATTTTTCTTACTGATTTAATGATATTGCGTGTTTCTCACAATTAACTCTTACTTTCGTTCATGCTGCTTTATTATTGTTACTATTATTGTTTTTTTATTAATAAAATTTTTCTCTAAAGTTACACAATTTTAAAAACATTAAAAGATAAATGCAAAAAAAAAATTTGTTTTTATAACATTATTGCATTTAATATATATATATTTTTTTTTGTGCATGAAAGGTCCGCAGCAGCCATCATAATAGTAAAAGTAGTTGGGAGAGTTACTTTTGAAAAAACTTTGTCCACTTTGCCTTCCTTTGCATAACAAGCAAAATCATTGAAGTGGTCTACCCCTTCTACTGTCTCTTCTACTGATTGCTTTAAAGCAGTGTCACACAGTTTTGGCCTTCATCTCTTTAAGTGCAGCTCATAAAAATTGATAAAATGTGCATAATAATTGCAAGAGGCCCTACATTTTATTGGTCAGGTTTATTAGTTCAATTGAATAAAGCTCGACTTGACTAAATTTTAATTATATGGAATATATTTAGTTTAAAATTTATTTAACAATAAATTAATCAAATATTAAAATTTATATCATTTAAAAGGAAACTGTGCATTCTTTTTAATACTTCTTTATAAGTTTTGAAAATTTACAAGAAAAAGAAAAAAAAAGATTTCCAAGAAAAACAGGTTCTTAAGAAGTACTTTTATCAGATTATTCATGTGTAAGAATGAAAGATCTATTGCCTAAATTCAACCGGAAGGATTTAGTTTGTTTTTTTTTATATCTTAAGACTCCTTTTCAACATTCTTGTCGAAGTTATATGCCAGAGAAGGACAACGAAAATATTACTCGTGCGCTCTGTATTTGTCCACCTCTCGACAGAACGCCTCTACACTAAGTTCTCACTTCTCAAGAAGTAAAAATATACGATATATATTCCATACCGATTAAAGTAGTTATTATACATTTATAGATGCTACCGTAGTTTTTAGCTTGAAGCAAGGTATAGACTTTATGTCATCTATTGTTGAAAACCGCTGTTCTTTGAGTGTTATTTAAAGTGTGGAAACTCACAAAGTGTCATATCTAGAGACACCAACCACAAAACTTGGGCCATAAATCCCTTCTTTAATATTTAAAATTATTGCAACTAATTCAGTTTAAATTTTACAAAAACTTTCTTATTCGACATAACATATTACCAAACAAAAATATCTCCAAACACACTATTGTATTTCTTGCTAATACACCCACTAAACACAAACTCAATATCGCTACTGTCTGATAGTTAAAACATTCATTACAGTCAGTACACCCAATACTTCAAAGACTCGATAATGAAAATACGGTTAACATAATTTTAAAATTCTTCTTACTCTTATTCTTAACTTTATATCATATATTTATTTATCTTGTGTAACTGTCTATAGTAATTTAATATGTTATGATATCAAATTTTCAGTAGTACAAAAATATATGTTATGTGTTTGAACACATTTTTTCAACGTATATCGAATGACCTGTTGTAGGGTAACAATTCAAAACAACTAATAATGATGTCAACAAATGGTATTGACTTTATCACATGCTAACTTCGATTAGGTCAAATGTTAGCGCCTCAATTTATTATTTCTACACTTTGTGTGCTTTTTATTGTGCTTTCTTCATGTATTTTCTTTTTCTTCTTTTTATCTGCCTATTGTCAATATTTTTTAAGCCATTCTGCATGCGTTCTATCGAATGAGTATCTTTTTTAATTGCCTACATTTTAAAGCTGACTTAAGTAGTAAACAAAAGTAGTTTTCTATTTCGAATGTGATGTCATATCAATATCAAATTAATTACTTTTTTGACGGACAATATCTTGAAAATAAATTTAAAATTTATGTCTAATATTAATCTCTAATATAATTAAGTCATTAGTGTTATCAAATAATGTTATTATTTTTCTACAATTGTATTTACAGTAAACATATTAAAATTATTTATAAATGAATATAATAAATTCAAAAAAAAAAAATGAATGCTATTTCTATGGTCTGAAATTTCTCTGCTCTCTGAGCATCATCTATATGTTTTAAATATTTATAAAACTCTGT